ATTCGGAATATATAGTTTTCACCCATTCTCTCAGGTATCCACGTATCTCCACATCATCTAAAGAAACCATGATGCGTGCATAATTTTAATCCTCTTTCATTTATTACTCTTGCTAGTAAGTGTGCAGGTGTCAGCACAATCATGGCAGCGCAGTACTAAGTACCGTGCCGAAATAACTTAACGGCACATGTTTTTTATCTACAGCCTCCAAGTCCATTGAGATTAACGGTTTTATATCTATCTACAGTATCAAACAGATGTTGCTATTGATTTTAATATTTTATTGCCATTGCTGTAATATATTTCCCAGATTTCAGCGTCTGCAGATTTGGAATAGTCAAGTATATTGCACCTAATTTGGACCCATCTAATAATTTAGCATTACACCGACTCACGAATGTTTTTTTTTTCTCAGTTGTATCAGCAATTATTAAATCCATCCATAATTAATCTTATTCATTGAGAAAACTTGCCAATTAATTTCCTACGATCTTTTGCAACTTTATTTTCATGATCAATCATATCAGGATTTTCTTTCCGTGAATATTTCTTTTGCTGTGGTAACCAATTTTGTTTTAGAGGACGATATGATATAGTGGCTTCTTTTACTTTCAATTATGTCAATATTCTACATCAAGTATGTAATACAATATAAATATCAGAGCCAAATATGTATCTAAGAAATATCTTCCAAACAAAAGATAAATAATTAGATGCAGATTTTCCACAAACTTGAGTGACTATACAAGCAAATCCAGTCAAATCCAAATTTGGTAAGGGTCCGTTTATCGCATCTCTGGTCATCTCGTGTGTCGGATGTCCAAATCGCTTAAAATATTAGGAACACTCTCCTTATCCAAGAAATTTTTCCAGAATAACACACTACCATATCAACCGATATAATATCTTTATGATCGTATTCAGTATTCCATAACTGAATCTGGTGCAGCATTGTCAGCAACTGATGGAACTGTAAAATAATTATTCAGTAAATTGTTCGATAAAATAATTATCAAAGTTATATTTCGACGCAAGATTTTAATTTCTTCGTGGAGAGATTCTTCACGATACATGTTTCTATTGGGCCTTACAAACTGGTCGTACAGGTATTTCACATAAGCCGTGTGTGTAATATAGTCATTATCGAGCACGCGGAAAGACTAGAATATACATATCCATGCATCATAGCTAGATAGTTCTGACTAGCTTGAGAATACAGAATTTTCAACCTAGTCAGAAATGGTAGAAATGTATAAAGTTGCAGATTTTTCGCGATTTTATTCATAAATCTGGTAGTATATACTATTCTCTTGTAGTATTGTCACGGATACTATAAATACGAGTCATCATGTTTGCGACAGTGCAAATAATTATATACTTATATGTAACTGTATATTTGTAAGAGCTCTGATAGCGGTCTGGATAAGGCGTTTGCGTGCAGATCCAATGTGTAAACTCTATGTATGTTCGAGTTTCCAAAAATGATAAAGATAGATTTATAATATTTCGTTTTGCACACTAGAAATTCGCTGGTGTGTGTGGCGCCCCTAAAATAAATAACAACTATGATGTGAGCTCGAGACCTTGTGACGTCACTGAAGGGTACCTCCACACAAGGACATTCAAAAAGAATGTCACCAGACGGAAAAGCCTCCTTAAGATGTGCCTGGATTAATATAAATATAAAGAAATAAAAATGTATTTCTAACATATTTCTGAATAAATATAAACAAATATTTATAGTATATTTTTGAATAAATATTTATAAATATAAAAATATATTCAGAAAAATATCAATTTAGAAACAGAAATTTGGAAATATATTTATATTTATTTACATTAATTCAGAAATATATCAGAAATATATCTTTATATTTAATCAGAAATATATTTATATTTATTTATTTATATTAATTCAGATATATAGATCAAAAATATATCTTCAGAAATATATTAATTCAGAAATATAATTTCTTTATTTATATTGATTAAGAAATATATATCAGAAATATATCCTACATTTATTCAAAAATTTTATTAATTTATTTATTTATTTATAATGATACATAAATATATCAGAAACATATCTTCGTAAATATACTAATTCAGAAATATATTAATTCAGAAATATTTTAGTTCAGAAATATATAAATTTAGAAATAAATATTGATATTAATTTAGAAATATATCTTCAGAAATATATTATTCATAAATATATTAATTCAGAAATATATTTTTATATTAATTCAGAATTATATTTTTTATTCATTCAGAAATATATTTTTAAATTAATATGTATATTATATTATGCTGATTCGGAAATATATTTTATATTTACGAATATTTACTCAGAAATATATTTTATATTAATATTTATATTATATTATATTTATTAAGAAATATATTTTTATATTTATAAATATTCATTCCGAAAAATATTAATTCAAAAATATATTTATATATTTATAAATATTTATTAAAAAATATACTAAAAATATATTTTTATATTTATTCAGAAATATATTACAAATATATTAGAATTTTTTATATTTATATTAATTCAGAAATATGAAATATATTTATATTAATTCAGAAATGTATTTATTTATATTTATATTAAACAAAAATATTTGTTATATTTATTAAACAAATTCTTATTAATATTATTGTTATTATTGTTGCTATTAAGCAATTACAGCATGACAGTATACAAATTTCTGATGAACTTGATCTTGAAAAAAATATGATTGATTTTGAATCATTCCAATCTCGAAAATAAATATACGAGGCTCTTCAATTATAGATTCATAAAGTTGACCCAACAGTCAATGTTACAATCACTTTCGGCATTAATAAATACACAGATAAAATTATTTGTTACTCTTTCACCCTCAATCGAAAAGGTTAGGTCATAATTATCTCACGAATACGAAACAAAAACACTTGTACACTCTTGTATAAAGCAGTTAAGAGATTATGTCGTTGACGGAGTCGATGACTGAGTCATTGGCGAATGATAACGATGAGTCTGACTCTACTCCTCATACATGTGAAAATGACTGTAGTGACCAACTGTTTTTATAGCTAAAAAAGAAGGATAATTTTTTTTAGCCTGATAAAATCAGAGAAAAAAATATTTGATACTAACATTTTTTTGCTTGGTATTTTCTATTAATTCACATACAGATTTATATTTAATGTTTCTGACCCAAGGTGATGATATATATCCGGGTAAAGGCACATTGTTAGCCTTTTCGATTTATCTCTCGAATTCTGCATATTTATCCTTGTATTCACCAGTTGAATCTGGATATATTTTCAGACTTTCGAAATACAAACAAAATCCAATCTATTTTTAAACACTGGCGGTGTTTGGATCTAATAATTCATCACGATGTAGATATCCTGATGCCGTAACGTCTATAGGTTTCTCTCGAAGTAGTTTACGACCTTCTTTGGAGAATCAATTGGTGGTTTTAACTTTGATTTTGACGTAACAAGATCTCTTACGTCACCAACCTCCTCAGGAACTTTATCAACACTATCAAGTACTTGTACTTCTTCTTGTAATTGAGGCTGAGCAATATCTCTTACGTCACCGACCTCCTCACAAACTTTATCAACACTCTCAAGTACTTGTTATGCTTCTTCTTGTAACTGAGGCTGATTCACGCTATTTCAGTTGGAAGTTCTCTTAGAATGTTTTTAGTTTCTTTAGTTCTTTCTGCCAATTTTCCAGTTCTTTCAGCGGTTTTCTATAAAGTTGGAAGAAGACCTTTAGTAGCTTTTGTAATTTTGTTAAATAACTGTTTTGCACCTTCTGCAAATGCCACCTGAGATTCCTGACAAGCTTGTTGTTGTTGCTTGACATAATCAGGTAAATATTTTTAATTGCTTCTAGTAGTTCTCGAGCTTATCTAGTTGTATGAGATTCTCCTATTATTAGTGATATAAAAATGATTTAATTAAAGCAGCAGGACGACCAACAGGTGACCAGCACGTAAACAGACACGTTTAAAAAATGAAAAACAAACATCATTGATAAAGTAACAAAATGAACTAACCCAACTAGATAAATCTCATGGCCTGACAGAGTCAGGGTTAGAGGCTTTGGTTTAACGTTATTGAATTCGTATTTTCATTTTCGCATGAAGTTTTTATTTTCTAAAATAAAGCATCAAGCAAAATGATCTGTTCGCCCTCCCTGCTGCTTGCTGCAACAAATTAGGTCAACCCTACCGCTTTATAAAGTCATCTTTACTTACATGGTATAAAAGAGAGGTGAATGAACGAAAAAGAGGTCAGATGAGCGTGTTGTGCTGAAGAGTGAGTTTAATCTCCAAAAGATCGATTATGGCTTAAGTTTGGTATATAATAGAAAGAAAAGTTTCTTTCCCTATATTAATGCCGGATGCAGTTCGTCTTTTGGTACCAAATATCACGTGTTTTGTTTTCAAAATATGACATATATCTGGTATTAACGTAGTTAAAGAACATATCTTCTAAATATTTTGCGAAAAGTTGTTTGTAAGTTACTAGTTTATAATGTTTACGGATTATAAACATTACTAGTGCTGCTTTGTTAGGATGGATGAAACATTTATCATGTATATGTTTAAACACAAATTGAACATTTTGTTTTGCATTTCTTTCCTAACAAATTAGCAGAACATGTTTAATGTTTTTTCTTATAATAACGATTTTTTTAAAGATTACCCATTACATTCTTCTCCGAAAACATGTGTATGTATGTATGTTTGTGTGTGTGTGTGTGTGATTTTGACTTTTTAGTGTAGCTTTAACAAATTTTCAGTCATATAGCTACGATGTATGCAGTGTGGCGGTTTATAATGATGCTAACACAGGGGCATCATGTTGCTAATAGATAGCATGATGTCCTACCCAGTGACACTATCTGATACCAGACCAACTAGTGCTAACACTAACATATAGCGTCTAGCGAGGCAGTTGACAGTACCATGTTTATAAGCCTTTGGTATTGCTCAGCCGGGGTCCGACCCAGGACCTCACGCATCCGAGGCAGACGCTCTAACCACTAGGCCACCGGAGCGGTCGAAAATGGTTGTAAACTTCTTTTCTGAAAGTAATCACATTCATGATATTAAAAAGAACAATAATGTATATTGAGCTATTGTAGACCGTACATTTATACGTTGGAGGAGTAATTGCAGAGCACCGTACATTTATACGTTGGAAGAGTAATTGCAGAGCACCGTACATTTATACGTTGGAAGAGTAATTGCAGAGCACCGTACATTTATACGTTGGAAGAGTAATTGCAGAGCATACGTAAACGGATTATAAACATGGAATACAAAATAACTGTACAAAAAACTACAAATAAAAATAGGAATTCTTTATTTAGAATAGATTCACCCCTTTAACATCGACAATTTGCACAATATCCTTTGCAACAATATTCCACAGTAATTCTGATAATATAAACTTGATATTATGAATTTTCCTTTCTTGCTCTTCACATACAAATATGGTGAAATGTATGGGAGTAACTGAAGATGCTCAACCCTAGACTCAGACAGACCTCATTGTCTATGAGCTTGAATTCACTGATTGTGATACACGTCTCCGGTTTATCGACTGGCAGATTAAATGGTTCGCAGTGACGATAACCTTGTGCTAGAAAAATAAAGAAGAAAACAGTGCTTAAAATAAGTGTACTAAAGCAGATTGATGAAAAGTTAGAAACGTAAATGCTGGATTCTGCCTGGAACGGGAATTTCTTCCCCTATTTTGCTCGTCATTTATAGTTATTTTCCTGTTCAACATAAAGTTCTCTGTGTCAAATCAAGAAGAGAGCGTAATTCAAGCTGTATATGCAAAGACAAAAGGGCTAAGGACATCGCTATACAGTCGCAAATTTCCAGGACAAATAGGCTCATTTTATTCTAGTTATATAGCAAATAATGTCCATTTTTTAGATTATTTATAACAGAGTATGCCACGATACAGGCAGACCAAATATCATTAAGCTGTTTTACATCCAATAATTAACCCGTGTAGTAAAATTGTATTTGGTTATTTTCTTCTGATCTGTTTTTGTTTTCGGACTTTCGAAACCCTTATGAGGCAAGAATATTCTATCGTTATAAAAGCAATATGTCTGCGCCATTATACCGACAATTTTGAGAATGAAAATTGCTGTTCAGGTTTACAGTCTTCAAAGCAATGATTTCAAGAAACAAAATGCCAACAGAGATTTAAACTACATAAAATTTGATGACTGAGTTTATTATTACTGCAAATTCAAAATCTCCTTCATTGTCACGCCCAATGTAAATACTTCTCTCTCTCTCTCTCTCTCTCTCTCTCTCTCTCTCTCTCTCTCTCTCTCTCTCTCTCTCTCTCTCTCTCTCTCTCTCTCTCTCTCTCTCTCGGTAAGTCTCTCATTCTTTGTCTCTCTCTAACACACGCATTTCATGCACAACAACAAAGACACCATATGCGTCCAGCTAAAGTGCGATATCATATGATTTTACGAATGTTGAATGACGTCACAAAGTTTACACTTAGTGAACTCAAACTTTGTGTTTGCGAACTGTGACATTGTCTCCGTTTCCAATCAATTATATATGGTCTTTGAGTTGCTTCAATGTACTTTGAAACTGATGCAATAATTAGTGTATAAATCTGAATTATTTATATTATTTATTTCCATTTTTTTTCAAATAGACGAATTTACGTTTTTGGATCACCAAATACGAAGACGGTCATTTTTATGCTTTTATTCGATTACTTAGTGCTGCCACACTTCTTTCTAAACAGATGAATCGGCAATATCAACAGCTGCTTGGTGATCGCAGTATTGTATAATGAACCGGGATATTATTTATATTCATTGCAATGGTCATCATCGGAAATCTGCTAATCAGCAAGGCTAATATTTTGAAAGAGAAAATGTCGCCATGTTAACATACTAGTGTATGGAAGTCTCATTTATTCTCCCGCTAATGTACATCTTTGGCTGCTAAATAATCAGACTTTGAAGTCAATTTGCATCTATCATGGTAAGAGAAAAGTTCTTTTAGAATAAGTTCTGAAGAGTGATATAATGGAATTTCAAAGGGTTTGAGATGCTCGTTATGGTAAAACGACAGATTTACTAAATACATTTATTCATTCCCTAGCTAGCTCATTGGACCAGTTTATGACATATAGCATTAGACCACATTGTGTGCAGTATGCATCAGTTTTGGTGTGTGTGTGTGTGTGTGTTACATCGTGTAAACGAATCAGAGAGAGAGAGAGAGAGAGAGAGAGAGAGAGAGAGAGAGAGAGAGAGAGAGAGAGAGAGAGAGAGAGAGAGAGTATAAAACAAACTGGGCTTTACAACAAGCTAATTAAAGAATGACTTGGTTTGCGCTTGAAAATGTATTTTTATATATCATAATTAATTCACTCTTTTGCTTGAATCCACTATCAAAATCAGCCCTCCAACACATTCTGAATTAGCATAAAATCGATTTAGCCGTCAGGCAGGAAATCTGCTGCAGTTAGTGGTAAGAAAGCTAACACCGGTATTTTCCTGCGAGAATTATGTATATGAAACATCGGTAATGACAAAAATGCTACGTTCCAACATAACACTGAGAATACTATCTATTTACAGTTTAATGACTTTGTAGACTTCACATATTTGTCTGTTATCTAACGATATAAACAATAGCAGATCGCTCCCATGTCTGAACTGTTGCACCGTACGTGCTATAACGTGTTCTTAGATTTCCATTCTACGAGGTTCCGATTGGAATTACTTTGTGTACTAAACATGACGAAAGTCTCTGCAGATCTGTATTGTCTCGAAGAGTGGATTTATTGTTATTATGAACATAATCAGTTAAAAGGGTAATCATATTAGTGAATTACCAAATTGTCAGTTGATACATTCTTGGAGAACCCAACGTGACCTGCGTTTGATTTTACATGCTTTATTGATTTGGGAAAAAGGTTACAGTATCCTTGTCTGCTTATAGCAGTGTTTGATTGAATTATGTTGTTGGGGGGGGGGTGCATATAAAAAGTGAGCCTGACTGACTGGGAGTTTGAAATCATTGCTTCTCCATGCCCGATGGCCGTTCACAAGAACTAATATTGCTTTGTTAGGTGTACAATCTTATATATCCACACTCACATTTATCTTTCTGTGTGTCACTCATGTACAGTCACGCATGTTGTGGGTTCGACACGCTCGGTGGCATCCAAATTCTTATTCGTTTTGCATTTTTATGCTCAATCTTTATTTTTTACTCTCTTGTCCCAATTATTTTAAATTATTATCTCTTTACCTTTTTATCTTAACACGTTTATTTATCATTTCCATTATCGGACGGATAACAGCTAGTTTATTTTAGAATGACGCATTGCGAAATTCCGATATTATCGATTATTGTTGCTTGACGCCATGACAATATTTTGCGTTTATGTAGGTGTGTGATCTTTACCTGTGCAAATGACTTTTTACAATATTTGTTTATGTCTTTAAATATTGTGGAATAATACCTGCATCGATTAAAATCGAAACTGTTTTCCTCTCAGAATTTTCTATAAAGTGAATGTATTTCCTACACTCCTTTTGGTTTGAGTTCCGATGGAGGATGTATAGTTTTTCTGGCCTGAATTTGACATCACGTGATAAAAACATACACGGATTATACAATAAAAGAATCCTTTCCAAGATATGTACGACTGTAAAGACACAGTACGGACGTTATGTACCTATGTATCAATAGACTGCTATCATTTCCTTTTCAACATTATTTCAAGGTAGCGAAGAAGGCCGGATTCAAGCCTTCATATTTTAAGGAACTGCTAAGAAAGAAGAAAGAAAATGTAATTGTCAGATATTTGTAATCAGACGCTTGTACTTATTTACTTAAACATTAGACTAAGCTTCTTGGATGTCCACGACTGTTTCTACAAAGACCATTTCCGTCTTAGAGAACTAGATAAGGATAGTTTAAGAGACTCCCTATGTAGCAAACAAGAAATTATAATGTATAACCGAGCAACTGTGCAAATTATGTACATTTATTTAGAAACTAGCCTTTCTTATTGTAAAGAGAAGAAAAAAAATTGTTTGACCTGATTGCACCTTTCAGCACAAACATGTTATCTTCGAAGATTTAGATTGTGTATTTCTGTTGTCGCAAAAGTACATAACTAATACATTTATTATGCGCCTCGGCACATGTCTAATGAATGGAATTATATAAGTCCAATGTCTGTTTGTCGTAAAGCATTGACCCCCCCTCGCCACTCTGAAAGTCGAAAAAGGGGATGTAATCCAAATCTGCACGTGGATAGGTATGATATATTTATTCAAGTCCTATTGATAGCATAGACGTCCAATATCAACGACTTGTATTTTGTTTCTCTTTTGTATATCTTACCATAAGCGAAATGTTGGACTTACTCGATATTTTCTCATTCAGAACAGTATATCCGTTGATGTCGATTAGAAGAGACAGCTCTTTGTTACCTGCATCATAACGTGTTGTCATGCATACTGCAGAGAAAACATGAAAATATAGCTTTGGATTTGTAATTCATTTCTATGAATAACATTCCAATGCTGATGGAACATACGCTTACAGTTGTATGTAGGATCATTAAGTTTGTCGAAGCACGATCATTAAGTTTGAACTCAGTTTTACAAGTGTTTTACAAATCTCTGCCGAACCTTTGTATACAATAATCATTGTATGATCATTGTTTGTATGGAAAATAGTATGTTAATACAGATAATTATATGTAAACAAAGGTTTGCAAATCAAATTCGTATACAATCTGAATTTATTATTATAATGAAATAGATATTATTATTATATTTAAATGACGTATATGCTTATAAAAAGCGGATACACTGCTTACTTAAATCAATAAAAAGATAAATTCAGTCAGCTCAATTCTTCCTCTTTATATCAAAGAAAAGAAACTAAATCTATTACACTTACAGGCCTCTATCGCCATGCAGATTTTGCAATTGTGATTCTGGCAATGAACGGATGGTGTAAGGTCCGGAAGATTATCAAA